CACTGGGACATGAGGAGACATGATTCAGGAAACCAATGATATCACACACAAATCTTGTGATTTGTGAGTGTACAGTTGCCAGGTGTAACTTAAAATGTGCCTATTTGCCTAAGGACAGGCTACAAAGATTCCCAGACTCTTATGGATTCCTAACTCCATAGTCTACCATGCCTAACTGCAGAAGAAAACACATTTCTGGTTGGACAATGAAGCCTCATCCAGTATCAGAAACATCCATTCTGACTAAAGAAATTATTAGAAATTCCAAAGTACAGAATCCCAAAATAGTTATTAACATAAAAACAGAACTTCAAGGTCAAATGTATTCAGGAAGCAAAATATCAATCTTTTCTCCTAGAGACTTGTGACTTTTAAAGGCTAGTACTGAAAAACCCAGCTATATATAAAAAAAAAACTTTTCATGTGTATTTTTTTTACATTTTAATAGCTGCAACACTGAAAAGCCCAGCCATATATAAAAAAATTTTTCATGTGAATTTTTTTTTCTACATTTCAATAGCTGCATCTCTCATGAGATCATGGAACACAATCTGAGAAAGTGTGAGTCTAATCTGAAAATGACCCCAAAGTACCTCAGTATTTAGGCAACCTGCTTCTGGGTTGCCTAGCAACCTATGATGTCATCATGTGTTACCCGCTGGGGGTCGCACCTGGCAGGCGTGGTTAAGTTGCTACATTAAAGGACCAACCTGCCACTTTGTCCCTTTCTTACTCCCTTACCCTCTTACTCCTCTTGCTCTCACCTCTCTCTGTTGGGGCGTCCCTCCCCCCACCATGTCTCTCTCTCTCTCCATGTCCATCTCCATCCAATAAACCTCATTGGATTTAAGATTGGTTGTGTGAATGGCATTTTTATGTAAATACTAACAATCTCTCTAACCTGCTGCAGCCCCTTGAGGAATATATGTGTGTAGTCAGTTATTATATAACACATTATGGTGAGAACTGTCTTTGTGTCTAATGTTTATTTTGTACCTGTTCTGCTTAATAGTTGCTGCTAAGTACCTGAATCGTATGTGCTGTGTGTGTGTGTGTGTGTGTGTGTGTGTACGCACACCTGTTTGTGGGACCATGCCCCATGTGCAGAGACGAGAGGAGGGCGTCAAGTATCCTACTCTATCAGTCTGCCTGATTGCCTTCACACAGCCTCTCTCACTGAACCTGCAGCTCTCAGGCCCTTTGCTTTGTTTTGTTAGCAAACCTGTCTGGCCAGCAAGCCCTAGTAATCCTCCTGTCTGTCTCGCTGCTGGCTGGAGGCACAGTGCGATGCCTGCCACCTGCCCAGCTTTTAAGTGGATTCTGGCGATCAGGCCTCAGGCCCCCATGCTTGCAGCGAAGCTCTCTAACTCATAATTTTCTAACTTCTGATGGATTATCAAGTTCTTTCAATACAGAACTTCAATAAACCCTTCCATGTCTGTGAATGAAGCCTGAAAGTCTCCATAACAATCCAGTTTACACTTCTTCTTCCACCGCGGCCTCCCCAGCTGGGCAAGGGTTCTAATGGGCTCAGCTCTCAGAGTAGCTCCTTTGCAGAGAGAGAGGGTGGGAGGGGGATGAAGGAAGGAAGGAAAAAGGGCTCAGAATGAAAAATAGCTGTGGGCTTTGTAAAAACTACAGGTCTCTGTACAGACAAAACTGGCCTGAAATTTTGTTGGATTGTTTGTTTGTTTGTTTGTTTGTTTTTAACAAATTTCAATTAAAATGGACTGAGGGAAAATGCATTAAAGCAAAGCCTAAAATCACACCCCTTGCCTGGAAGGCATTTGAAGTGACTGGCCTGAAGGAACTGTTTGGATTAACAAAAGAGATCAAGTGACCAGAAAAATAAGAGTCTAGTCAGAATCAGGAAGTGGGAAAGTAGACCAGCTTATCCTAAGGGATAAACTGGGGGAGGAGGGGACCACATGACCACTGCATCCCAGGCAGTCATCAGCTCTGCTTTCAGAGGTTGTCCCTTACCCCTCTACTAGACTCCACATCCACGAAAGGCTGGTTCACAGGTTGGCACAGCAGGTGAACAGATACTGGGCACCACAGCCCAGACTCATGCACCTGAAAATCAACAACCTAAAGACCCGCTGCTGGGTACTGAACACATGCTCACTGAATGGGCACAGACATCAGCTGGAGGAGGGTAGGGAAGGTGAGTACCCAAATGAGACAAAGGCCATGCCAGATTCAAACCCCTGACTTTTCAGGTCTGACAGGGGAACTGTTAGTGAATGGACTGTGAACGTGCAGAGGGGACCTGCAAACCTGTAACACTGGAATAAACGGAGACAGCATTGAGCCCAGTCACTTCGTTTAAGAGGAAACTGGCCTGGTGCAGTGGCGCACGCCTGTAGTCCCCGCGCTCAGGAGGCAGAGGCAGGCGTATCTCTCTGAGTTCCAGGTCAGCCTGGTCTACAAAGCAAGTCCAGGACAACCAAGACTACACAGAGAAACCCTGTCTGGGTGGGGGTGGGGGTGGAGGATTGAACCTGGGAGATCAGGTAACTTGCTGAAGGCCAAGCATAGCATTGCCCTAAGCAGGAGATAGTTCAATAGCTACTATCTACTTGAGCATCTGCAGAGTATGGGCTCAGGCTAAAAATAAATAAATAAATAAATAAATAAATAAATAAATAAATAAATAAATAAATAA